TGTGATAATTTTTAACCATATAAAATCTTGGACAGATAATCCCATTCTTCATCTTTGACTAAAAAAAGCTCACCTAGTGTGCAGTTTTCTGGAATGAAAGAGCGTTCATCCCTCAGTTTCCTATGCCTCTTCAAAGCTGAAACAGTTTGGAGTTACCCGGTTATTCTCTCCTTCACCTACCTTCTGAAAAGCAGTACGTAAATGAAGGTAGTAATGCAGCTATTCTAATGAAAACTGCAAATTTTGTAGGAGCCATCAGATGTAAGGCACGAAAATAGCTTAAACCCGTCTTCCCCTATATTCATTTCTATCCTCCTTCTGAGAAATTTATAGTTATGGGTAACACAGAAATATCATATTGTATGTAGTGGCTGCTGTGGCATGATTTATGATGGTGTTCATCCACGTGTATACGCACTGTTCTTTTCAAATAACTTGTTAACAACAATAGCTTAGTTTTTGGCTTAATATAAAAGTATCATCCCTTGATAATGTAAGTAAAAGTTCCTACTTATATATATTAAGATTTTGTCTGACCAAATCTCCTATCACTAAGGATGATCAAACGTGATAGTATTCCAAACATGGCTGCTGGTGATCCACCAATATTTTTTTCCCTGGTTGTCATGTAGCAGAATCCTTTTTAATTTAAGTATTCCTGATAGTGCAGTAAGTGATACAGTAAGCAGGGTAAAAAAAAAAATCACTTAGTAAAGACTCTCCTCATTACATTATAATGTCTTAAAAGTAAGTCACCTTAGATCTAAAGTGCTTTACAGGTAGCCATTTTAAAGACTTTTATGAATATAATCAATGTAATTCTCAATGGCTATATTTCTAATAACCAATTTGCTGACTTCATGTTCTTGTCAAGATAATTTATATACATATACACCATATATTCTGTGAAATTTTTCTTTGCCCAGGTGAGCATTTAATCTTCCTTTCTCCCTAAAGGAATTATCCACATCCCTGAAATCAGAGGATTCTCCATTTATTTTTCCCATCTGTCAGACCTTCCAGTCTTAAGACCTTCAGTCATAATGATCATCTTTTCAGCAGAGGGCAGCATATGGCATTCTCAGAGTCCATCAGTTCCACTGTTTAATTGGCAGTAGAAATCACTGTTGAGCTAAAGCTGATTCGGAAGCTTTTCCAACTCTTCTTGACTCTTAGGCAAGATTCAGATTTTGGTATCTTTTGTGACTATATAGAATATTTCTCAGGGGAATGGTCTGTAGTAATAAATCTGTTGAATAAAATGAAAGTTGTTTTTCCATTTTCTTTATTGTTACAAGAAAGCAATACTTCTCTGGTTGAAATTTTCTTACTAATGATAGTAAAGCGTACATTGTTCCAATAAATTGAATGGATTCTGAATAGTTGCATATCAGATAATTTTCATTGTTAGTAATCTTAGACCCCTGTCTTCATAATAATGGTAAATCTGTTAGGGGGAGAAAGGCTTGGCAAACCATTTGCTATTGGGAATCAGACAGCCTAACACTCTGAGATACTGTTTTACAATGATTTCAAAAAAGAAGCATTTTGTTTTTTAACAATTTTTTTTCCTTCCATTCTGTGTAGAAAGAAGAATAAGTTTACATCATGTTTTATTATTCACAGTTTTTTTTAATTATATCACAGTTTGCTCTTTTTTCTTTCCTTTTTTTTAAGTAACAACTAATGCTTTCTGATTTCCATATGTTCAAAAGTTCTCAAAATGACAATTGATTCTTTTTGTGTGCTGCAGAGATTTCTTAATAGATTAGGAAGTTTAATACAGTTTTTACAATATTACACAACCTCTCTTTTCTGTAAGCTACAGAATCATAGAATAGTTGCAAAGACTTTTGAAAGTCATCTCATCCAATCCCCCTGGAATGAGCAGCTACATCTTCAGCTACATTAGGCTACTCATAGTCACAACCAACCTGGCCTTTAGTGTTTCCATGGATGGGGCATATACACAGAACTGAATGGAACAATTGATTCTTGTAACCTTGATGGTGGAATAAAATAAGAGAAATAAAAGTTTTAAGAATTGCTCCAGATTTTTTGTATGGTAGCTGTGTCAGAATATATTGTTTTATTATCCTTCCTGAAGTTCTATTTTGCTGTTAATTGAAGTATCTGATGTTTTTCACAGAAGGGAAGAAAATTTGTAGATGGACTATCTTTTGATAAAACTTAATGCTAGCAAGTGGCTTGGCAGTGACTGAATGCCCAAAACTCAAATGTAAAAATTGTTTGTTGCTCTATGTACCATACTACCATGAGGACTATCATGAAAGACATGTTTCTGAATTACTTTAAGGAAAAAAACCTCCAAACTAGTAATTTGCATCTCTAAGTAGTCAAGATGGTGCTGAATTGATTGAGTTTTTCTACAGAGAAGACCAAAAATCTGTTGACTCTACAGTAAGGGAAACACATTCTAAATATACATGGTTGACATTTAAGCCAAAACCCTGAAAGAGTCTTGGATTAGCTCACACTTTGGAGGGCCAGATAGAAGTTTGTTGGACTAGTAGAAAAAGGGGTTTATTCTAAGTGCTTACGTTGTTCATCTTTGACTAGGTATTCAGACTGCTGAGCTTCATGCAAATATGCTTTTTGGATACGATAGTTAAGTCTCTAGCAAAGTTTCATTCTAGCCCCTTAAAAACATTTGAAGCATTTGACCCAGTCATTCAGGTGTTTTCCCACTGTTAATGTAATCCATGTGTGTACAGTTCCACTATGTCTCCTATTCTGTTTCTTTTTTCATATTTATTTATAAACTTTTGTTTATATTTTCTATATAGTAAATGGGTAACATTAATTTGTCTGGCCCCCCCTTTTTTAATTTTATTTCTTGTTCTCATTTCCTGAAGTATCATAGTCTGGGAGAAACTGTTCTTTCTCCCCTTTGATATCCTCAGATATCTGTATCCTTTTCATAAGAATTTTTGCAGCCTTATTACTGGCTAGCTATGAAGCACAAAGAAGTGAGTGTGACAGCCTCTGTAATTTAGAACACTTAATTTTTCTATTATATCATCCGCTGAGTGATAGCATAATTTGGGCAATTTTAAGTGTAGCATAACCACCCAGCGAGTGGTTAAACCTCTACAGAGTAGCATGTCTGACATACGGCTTGGCAGCTGGAATTTACTCTCTTAAAAAACCCAAAAGATCTCTTGGAGGTTGGAATGCTTCTTGATCAAAACCAGTGTTTGTGGTGCTTCAGTAAAGAAATCACGGAACCTTCAACCTATTGTTTCAAAATATTTGAAGTGTTTATGCTTCTGCATACACTGGAAAAACGTTCTTCCAAACCAAGATTTTTGAGCTATTCCTCATTTTTAACTGACCCTGAGGTTAACATATATTCTGAAAGTCCTTTAGAACAAGCTCAGGAGGTTATTGAAGTTATGCTGGATAAAATGTTGTCTCAAGGCTTTTTCTGGATTTTCTGAATTTTGTCAGAGCAGAGTGCAAGTGCTTAATACTGGATATAAGTTTTCCATTTTCTGTACCGTCCCATCATGATCATTGTTAAATAGTTTTCAGCTGTCATTTAAGACTTACTTAAGGTTATTTCACGCTACTTTAACAGTGAAAAATTACTTAAGCAGGGGTTTTGCAGTTTTGTTTCTGGGAGTACCCACTCTTGGCAATTAAAGAGAACCTTGAAGTAGGATAGCTATGGAACCTTACTGAATTTTGAATTCTAGCTTGCATAGCTATGTCACGTTTGCTTTAATCCAGTACAGCCACTTCATCTTCGACCTCTCAGCCCTGCTACTCAAGGGAAACATACAAAATACCTTCAAAAGATAATTCTGGAACTAAAATTCATAACTCTGGGCACTAAAACCCATGGACTCAACAGAGACATTGAGTTTATGGCGCATTATATTTTTTGCCACCCCAGTATCACCTGCACAGACATGCTCCACAGACAATAAATTACTTGTGTCTCTCTTGCTCTCTCTCTCTCTCTCTGTCCCATAGGAGCAAACAAATGTATTGTCTTTCCCTTTCTAATATTTCTCTGCCTCATATTTATGAACTATCTTATCTTTTAGTTAATTGAATTGGTGAATTTGATTAAATTAAAACCAGAACAATTGTTCTCAACTTCAAAAGATTACTAATTCTACTTCAGACTGGAAGAAAATCTTGGATGCTTGAAAGCTTGTCATTTTCCCCTCAAATATTTCATTTAGTCTAATAGAAGATAGTAACACTTATTATAAACTGTACGTATTTGTACTGTTCCACCAACGTGCCTGTAACAAATGTGGATAGAGCCTTCCCAAATCTTCGTTCGCGAAGCCTAGCCATGGATGAATTTGTACTGTTAGAACACATGGCTAGAGCAGTAGTACTTAATTCACATTAACATGCTGATTACATGCAACTAATTTCTCCCTTTTGGTTCCAGAAGTTTTATAGCCATTCAGTCTCTTAATAAACAGTTTGGACAGTCCAAACTCCTAAGTATCTGTATTTTTGTATTTTTAATATTTTCTATTTATTATTTTTGTAAAACATTTTAAGACTGATCCAGATGAGGAGTAATGTGTTTGTCCCGTTTCTTGCTTTAAAACAAAAATGGAAGCAACTAATGGAACGAAGTCACTTGATCACAAATATCCCTGTTTCCAAGATGAAACACTAACTACAGAATTTACTAATTTCTGAAGTTTCTTGGTACTCAGTATGTCCTCTGAAAGGGTGATAAACGTCAAGCTGTATCCTCAGTAAATGAACTCTATACAGTTTCTAGTACAGTCAATAGTGCTTTGATAAAGCTGGAAGATTCTGAAATGCTGACAGTTTCTAAGATAATCCTTTAAAAAGTGGTTGCCAGTACCAATAAATTTTAAAACAAAAAATATATTGCTCAGAAAAAATGCAATAAAATGATGTGTGCATTATTACATGCTCTTCATGTTGGAGATTCTTCAGTAAAAAACCCCCAAAATAAGCAGCACATACTGTCTCTGCAGGTCTAAGACATCAGAGGAGATTCTTCTGAATACACCCTTATGGTTTGGTGCTTATTCTTAGCTGGGAGAAACAATGCCATATATTTGGATCCTGTCTCTGTCTGGTTTTATAAAACATCAGTCAAACAAGGGAAAGAAAAAACAGAAGGTACAGTTTTTGGACTCATGGCATTATGACATACTATCTGAGTAGGCAACACAAATAGCCTGCGGCATAGATCGACTTTAACTGTGGTCTTGTCATGTTTCATAAACCAGAGCAAAACTGGGCTTGGTCAGCATAAGATACAAAGCCTGTAAGAAAACTGTTCATAATTCAGAAAGTGGTGCATGTGCTTCAACTTTTTGCAGTTCTTTTAAAAATTGTGGAACGTCTCATTGCACGTAAAGGGGATCATTTTTTTTCTCAGTGGAACATGATACAAGAAGAAAACCAAGTCTTTTCCCTAACACCTCCCCGTCAGTGTTTTTTCTCTCTTTTTTTTTTCTAGTTAGATTTTGTTGGTTTTTTTCAACATTTTTGCATATCTTTCTGGTGGTAATCATTGTTTTTTTACTTTTAAATATGATTGAACCATATTTAGCTTCAATGACCTTGAGAAGTTTAGGTTCACATGTGTCTACTTTTCTGTGTGTGACTAAACAGCAGTACTGTCCTTTTTTCATGTGTATGTGCCTACCTAGCAAAATTACAATTCAGAGACATAAACATGTTGCATAATAACTTCAGGAAGCTACTAATTCATTGAAGGATTTATTATTCATGTTTAAAATTTAGTGATTTACTTAGTGATACAAACACTACTGCTATAGCATTGCTTTTGCTTGGTCTAGTGAGTAAAGACCTTTTACAAATCCAGTATCAATCCTCTGTCTCCTCTTTTGATTAATACAGAAACTGTGTATAATTTTTATTATATAGTAATATCTCATACTCCTAAACCCAAAATAACAAGAGTTGGATTTTCAAATTATTTTTATTTTTTTTTGTAATTAAATTCTGTTAATGGAACACAAATTGTATGTTTAAATGATACTGTGTATTTCATTTATATTTTTATTCAGTATTATATCAAGTTATTAAAAATAAACCTATTCTGTTCTTATATAAGTGTAGTTCAGAAATCTCTTAGATTTTCATTCTTTTTCTGAAATTTCAGTTGCACAATACTACTGTATTTGTCACGCTGAAAAGAAAAATTTAAACCCATCCTTTCCTTCTTCCTGGTAGAATTTATTAAATTTGTGAATCTTCTCTCTTGATAGGTTAATGAAATTAAATTGCTTTCCAGTGTATAAAAGTAAAGTTTAATCTTTGCTGTTGAAACCAAAGCATTTGCTTCAAAATCCATTGTTGAAGAAACAGGATTAGGACAGGTTGAAGCACTGACCTGCACAGGATCTCTCACCCTGTATAACATTAATAATGGATGTCACTATTTACTAGTCCTCAAGAGCCCACTTTATAATATATTGTATTTGCTGTGAAACTTGAATAGAGGTAGATACTGAAGAAAATGTCTTGTATACAATCAGCCATATGTGAGTTTACTGTTATAAATTGTGAATTCTGACTACTTTCAGGCCTGCTTTCAGGCCCTTCTTCCTAGCCTCTAAAAAGACCTCTCACTCTATTTACACTTTAGTCAAGTAGTCTCAATTTGGCATTTTTTAATGTTGGATTTACGAAAATGTAATACATTGTATGTATGATTAACTCGAGGTTAGAGATTTCTTAACAAGGTGATTAGAGTGGAAATGTCATCGTCTGGCTACTTCCTAACATCCTCATGGAGGTATACATGGGGCTGGAATTCTTACATCCACAGCAGAGAATGTTCTCTTTGAAGGAACACACAGTCTTCTAAGTAACAGGCTTTAACTATCCCTGTGGCTCAGTAGGTGCAATTAGTTCCTTTGTGTTTTCTAGTTTCAGTGGAACAGCAAGATTTAGAATCATAGAATCAACCGGGTTGGAAAAGACCTCTGAGATCATCAAGTCCAAGCCTTGATCCACTACTGCCGTGGTTACAAGACCATGGCATTAAGTGCCACATCCAGTCTCATCTTAAAAACCTCCAGGAACAATGAATCCACCACCTCCCTGGGCAGCGAATTTCCAATGTCTGATTACTCTCTCTGTAAAAAATTTCTTCCTAATATCCAACCTAAACTTCCCCTGGCAGAGCTTAAGACTGTGCCCTCCTGTCCTACTGCTGGTTGCCTGGGAGAAGAGACCAACCCCCATCTGGCTACAACCTCCTTTCAGGGAGTTGTAGAGAGTAAGGACGTCTCCTCTGAGCCTCCTCTTCTCCAGGCTAAGCAACCCCAGCTCCCTCAGCCTCTCCTCACAGGACTTTTGCTCCAGTCCCTTCACCAGCCTCATTGCTCTTCTCTGGACCTGCTCCAGCACCTCGACATCCTTCCTGAACTGAGGAGCCCAGAACTGGACACAGTACTCAAGGTGTGGCCTCACCAGTGCTGAGTACAGGGGAATAATCCCTTCCCTGGTCCTGCTGGCCACACTGTTCCTGATACAGGCCAGGATGCCATTGGCCTTCTTGGCCACCTGGGCACACTGCTGGCTCATGTTCAGCTTCCAAGCCTTGGAACTAAGGATTTGGTTCCAGGCTGTAGAGAAGGGCTACTCTGAAGGTTCTGGAGTCTTCTCGTATGTTCTTTACAGCCTGGTTAAATTTTCCTTTTCACTTGTTCTCCTTGTTTCCTCTTTCAGAGCTAATATACCTGCCCTAGGTCTCTTTGCACTAATCTGTCTCTCCCTAAATCACTCAGATGTCATCTGATGATGGGCCTTTCCAGACTCACTTTCATTCCTGACCTTTTTTTCTAGTTCTGTTTAACCAATTGTACTTTGAGTCACTTGAATCAACTGACTTTATATCAGCTGAGGTCCCAGTGAGTCCAGCTAATGAATATAATCTCTTTATTTTAACCTGTCACACAGACTATGGTGTAGTGGTTCTTCTGTACCCTCTTTTGATTTCAAACAATAGTCTCACTGCCCTGGTGCTCAGTTCTCAGCCCTGGCCATCCTAATCAGTCAAAACCAAGGCCTCTAACATAAATCAGCAGCTTTACTTATGTCCAGCCTCAGACCCTTGCTATCCATTCTCCCATTCTGTGCCACACACATTCTAGGTAGACTGATTTTGATCTTTTGTTCTGGAAATGTTTTATTCTGCATTAATTATACAGGGTGGATCTATATTATCAATATGGGTTTTTTTCGTTAATTCTCTTTGCAGCCCCAGTTTCTCTGTTTGCTCCTCAGCCTTTGGCTTACTCTAAATATAGACCAAGCACATTGCCCCAGCTCAGTTGTGGAGATCAAAATGGCTCTAGAGTACATTAGAAATGATAGGAATAGACCTTGGATGAAATCCATTCTGAATCATGTTTAGAATAGATTGAGCTGGAATGTCTTTTTTTGCTTTGTTTTGTTTTGTTCTGACTCAATCACCATACAACTAAATAGCCCGTACACAATAGACTGGCATAAGCAGAAGAAACACCAAGCCAAAAAACCTTTAGCCTCATGTATTGCCATGGATAATACTTGATGAAATTATCGTCTTCTTACAGGTAGGAGCTGAAACGTAATCTTTTGTAATCTTCATGGCTTCCTTTCCATTGATTACTGGGATTCATTTCATAGGGCTGTAACCTGATTGCTTAGCTAGACAACAAAAATAAATTGCAGTTCCCAATACCTCAATCCTTGGTGTTCCAAAAAACCCTGAGTGGAAAACCAGGAGTGTCCATACTGCATAATTAAGATTTGAGGAGGGATTTTAGAAATTTAGGTTGCATATGTCTGGCTAAAAAAAAAACCTGTAAAGCTCTGTCTATGCTTCAGATAGCAATCACAACCCAGAAACGCTCTAATGTAATTAGTAGGGATTCCATATGAGTGGCTTTACTAGGCCTTTTCAGAAGTACCTAGCTGGTAGGATCTCACTCAAGATCTGATTTTTATCTCTACCTGTGCAGATACCTCAAGTATATTTTTTCAGTAGGACAGTGTTTATTAAAGGTCATAGGTTTATATTATTGTGGACTGCAAGATATGAGATTAACTGTTTTTTAATGTTGCACCTTAATTTGCATCTAACAGTAAAAAGAGCTACTATTAGGTATAGGGTGGAATTAAGTCACTGGGTGCTTTGTGTTAATTCTTGGTCTTCCAAAAAGGATGCAATTGAAAGACATGGCCGAGGAAAGACAGATGTATATCTTCAAAGATTAGATTGATACAATGGTTTATTTCTACATATTTATATAGTCCCAATGATAATTTATATCTAACTGCTGTTTTAAAAGGCTATTTGAATAATAATTGCTGCAAACATTTCAAGCATATAAATGAACATGGCCACACATAACATGCAAAACTACATTGTCCCATTCATTACAAAATTAATTTTTAAATTCTGCTGCTGTACAGATCTTAACAGGTCAAATGTTCGTTATAAACATAAATGAATGGGAATGTAGGTGGAAAACTTATTGGATCTTTACCACTGTTTACATGTAATAGCACAGCATATTACTCAGGATGATTTTGTTATTTGCTACTGTCATATTTTTAAAGCCAGGATCTTGTGCCTAAGAGTTAGCATGTACGGAATAAACTTTCAGCCGGGTATTAATATTATCTAATTAAGATACCTGTAGTATTTCTCATATGCATAATCTTGACTTTGTTATCTTTGCTGTCATTCATTTTTCTAGGCAATTTAGGATTGTATCATAAGACTCCATTTTAACCTGGTATTTCATAAAATATATTACAAAAGGACTTAGACCAGATATACAGATATTTAGATTAGTCATTGTTATTAAAATTGCTATATGTGCAAGTGGCCATCTTCTATTTTGATATCAAACACTGAAATTTTTAAGAGAATGCCATTTGACCTTCAGGTCTAGTGAACAGCTTGAGATTAGAAAATCACTGGATATAACTAGTGAAACTTATACAATAAAACAGGAGTGGAAAAAGGAAATAATCATGTAACTAAGACTGCAAAACAGTGTATATTTTTATTTTTTAATTTGTATGAATAAAATCATATAG